AGATTTATTTTACTTGGAACCTAGGCTAATATAGGAGTTCTAGATTTTATTAGTGTAAAAAAAACCTAGTAAGTTACACATATTTAAGATCTTTAGCCAGGCAACGCCAGCCTGGGCTACAGAGTGAGCTCAAGGCCATCCTGAACTGCATAGTAAGACCCTGTCTCAAAAAGACCAAAAAAAAAAAAAAAAAAAAAAAAAAACCCTTTATACTTTTTTTCCTTTTAAATAAGACCTCATAATTAAACACACTTGAAGCTATCCAGCTTTATATAAAGAAGTTCTCAAAAAACTCAGTAATCTCAGATTATTGGAAGTTACTTGTCTGAAACCGCCCTCCCCCCCCCAAAAAAAGATGCATGTTATTTATCTTCTATTCATACAATCTCAGTTCTCTGTCTTAAGCAATATGGGCAGAAAAATAGTTCCTTAATTCCAGGGGGAGGAAATTATAGAAACAACCTTTTATTTAGGTCAAGCCATAAAAGTAAGGACTTTACACTAAGTTTTGTATATCCATTAATTTAAAAACAAACTTCTTTTTAATTGGCAAGTCTCAATAGCACCATTTTACCTCAGTAGTACACACTATTTTTGGGCTCTAGTAAACTCATAAAATTATAAAATACTACATCGTGGTGAGGCATAGGAGTATTAAACACAAGCTGTTTCCGAAATCATCGGTTGACAAATGACAGTAATTTGTTGCCAACTTTGTAATAGAGTGAAAAGGAAGAATGTCAATAGTTTGTAGTATTGACTTCTTAAGAGATTTAGGAGAGAGAACATAATAGAGAAAACATGTCTTGGATTTCCAGGTGTTTTTTTTTGCTTTGCTTTTGATGTTTTGGTAGGAAGGTTGTTTTGTTTTTGTGGTGCTGATAGTGAACCCAGGGCTTCACACAACCTAGGCAAACTAACACTGAGTTACATTAACAGCCTTTTTTTTTTTTTTCCATTTTAAGTGAAAATCATCCTGAGAGAGCCCTGACTGGAGTTCTAAAATGTTGTGACTCTTAAAAAAGCTTTGTGGGCCGGGGATGTAGCTCAGCGGCACAGCACCTGGCTGGCAAGCACGAGGCCCTAAGTTTGATTCCTGGTACTAAAAAAAAAAAAAAAAAAAAAAAAAAAGAAATGCCTTGTGCTTCTGACTGGTAAGGAGTAAAGTCTGAGATCCCTGGGAGGAGACCAGAGAGGAGTAGCTGATGGAATCCTAGATGGCTGTTCCTGGAAAGTACTGTCCTTCTCAGTGTGCCTGGCTCCTCCGTGGCTCCACTTCAGCCTGGACAGGGTTCCTCGGTGCACTCTGGAGTTTGGAATGGTGGCTTCTATTTGTGAGATGGTTCTCTGGCAGTTGAGTGGATATCACATTGTTAAAAGTGAACAAAGGGTACTTCTGAGGTACTCAATCTTTTCCTGAGAACAAAGTAAATGAGATCTAGCTTGATTGTGGAAAAGGCCATGTGTTTAATTTTGCTATTTCTGGATGACAAACACAGTCACGCTTTCTTGGATAGTTCAATTAGCATGTGTAAAATAGCCATTTTTACTGGCTTTCCACATGCTGAAGACTAAAATTAGACCCATGTCTATCACCATGCACTAAACTAAAGTCAAAATGGGTCAAAGATCTAAATATTAAAGCAGAAACACTAAATCTACTGGAGGAGAAAGGAGGCAGAAAACTTGAAAACATAGGGGTAGGTAGAGAGTTGATGAACAAAAACCATACTGCATGGGAAATACTTCAAACAGTCAACAATTGGGATCTCATCTTATTAAAAAGCTTTTGCACATCAAAAGAAATCACTAACAGAGTAAAAAGAAAACCCATGAATTGGGAAAAAAATTTAGCTAACTGTCCCTCAGACAAAAGACTCGTATCTAGAACATATAAAGAATTAAAAAAAGTCAGGCCCCCAAAACTCAAAGACCCAATCCAAAAATGGGCATCTGAGATGAATATACACTTCTTTGATAAACAAATTCAAATGGCAAATAAATATGTGAAAAAATGTTCGACATCATTGGTCATTTGAGAAATGCAAATTAAACAACACTGAGATTCCATCTCACCCCGGTAAGAATGGCTATCATCAAGAAGTCGACCAATAACAAATGATAGAGGGGCTGTAGGGAAAAGGGAACCTTTCCCACAGTAGATAGTATAAATTGGTACAACCACTATGGAAATCAGTATGGCAGTTCCTCAGAAAACTAGAATTAGAGGTCCCATTCAACCCAGTTATTCCTCTTCTGGGAATTTTGCCAGATTAACTGAAAACATCACACCACAGCGATATATGTACACCTATGTTTATAGCAGCACAATTTGTATCGCTAAGTCTTGGAAACAACCCATACGCCCATCAAGTGAGGAATGGATAAAAAAAGATGTATTTTTATACAGTAGGGTATTACTCAGCTATAAAAAAAGATAAACTTGAGACTTTTATAGGTAAATGGATGCAACTAGAGACCATACTCATAAGTGAAATAAATCGGCCCCCATGTGTAAACATATTGTTTCCCTAGTATAAGAACCTGAAAGAGTAAATAAAACCCAAAAGGTACAATAGATACTGTGAAAGGGAAAGAAACTGCACAAAGGGAGGGAACAACTAGGATGAGAGAAAGGAGAAAAGAAAGAAGAAAGGGGAAAAAAATGTATGGATATACAAGGATACTGGGATAATTATACTGCTGATGTCTATTGGTTTATTGAAAGGAACAGTTAATGCTGAAATTTTTTTTAACCAATTTTGCATGCTTATATCTGGTAATCTGAATAACTAATTTGAAGACAACAATATGCAATATAACAGCCATTGTTGAAATCCTACCATCTTGATTAGTGAAACATCGCTTCTAATGTTTTTAAAAATTATTTCGTATTCTCTTTAATTGTTTCATCAATCTTGCATTCTTACATCTGGTAATCTGAGGTCCTTCATTGAAGATAACAATATGTAATATAACAATCATTGTTAATTTTCTATCATTTTGTTTTGAAATTGTATGTTATTTTTACTGTTTTTGTGTTTTGTTTTTATCTTTGTTGTTTTGCTTTGTTTCTTTTTAAAATAAAAAAGCCCAAAAAATAGCCATTTTTATTTTTTATGATTATAGCATACTTATTGGGCTTTTTTTTTTCTTTTTGAGGGGGGTTGTTTTGGTTTGGCTTTTTGTTTTTTGAAGACAGGACTCAGTATGTAGTTCAGGCTGACCTTGAACTTGTGACAATCCTTCTGCCTCATCCTGCTGAGTACCGGAATTACAAGCTTGTGCCATCACACCTGACTTCAGCTTTCACTCTTTAGAAATCAGTGATTGTCTTTACTCTCTCCCTTGTCCCTTTGTAGTCATGTGAATATGTAAAATAATTGGAATCAAAGTAGATTTGGCAGGGCCAGGGGTTTAGCTCAATGGCACAGTGCTTGCCTGGCAAGTGTGAGGTCCTGAGTTCAATTCCCTACCCACCCCCCCCAAAAAAAAACAAAGTAGATTTGGCCACAAGAATATTGGTTGCATAAAGAGAAATACCTGAAATTTGGATAACTTAATAACGTCCTTTGGGGGAACATTTAATGCCTCTGTGGCAGTGGTATGTGTTAATAACGCCCTACCACGCGGTATCTTTGATCCCCAGCATAACTTAGATTTTAGGCAGTGAACTTTCACTATTTAATACTGGACAGTAATTAATCTAAATATTATTAATCTCAGAGGACTTAACATTGGTGTTGTCTGTGATTTTTCTCATATTCGTAGTGCTGCCATGTACAGCTGTATAGACTTTTCACACACAACTGCAGAGATAGCCGTTCAGGTAAAATGTGTGGCTGTGGTTCCCCTTGGAGGTGCAGCTGACCACACCTCCCTCTCAGTCGGAAATCCAAGGGAGCTTTGTTCTAGGAACTAGCACAAAGAATGAATGGAAAAAATATATTTTTCATCATATATCTATATCTATATATATATGTATATATATCAGGAACAGTGGCAGAGAGGAAGGGGGTAGGGACTGGCGATTAGTCATGCTGTTTTCATAGAGTGTGTGCATATGTAAGCACTTGTGAGAGTAGTCTATATATGTACAGATATGACACTTTAATATTAAATAACTTTATAATGTTAAAAACTAAGGGCTGGGCATGTAGCTCAGCACAAGCGCCTGCCTACCAATTATAAGGTAATGAGTTCGATTCCCAGTACCCAAAAACAAAACTAAGAAAATGTTCAAGAGGATTCATTAAATAAGAAAATAATACCATATGGCTGTTAAAATTGTTGTATACATATAAACAGGAGTTTCTGTAACTATTTTGAACTTAATTAGCAAGTTCAACAATTTCCAAATGCAAGTATTTTTGGTAGCAGTTCTGCCAGAAGGAAACAAAAGTTCTAGAGCACTGCCAGCACAGTGTAGGCAGTCTACAGTATGTTGAATGAGTTGTGTTCCAGAAGTGGGCTGTTTGAAATTCTAAACACATTTTCCCAAAGAAACCATGCTATAAGGACTCTGGTCTCAAGTAAGTTTAGAACAGCCTTAATTTTACTCATAATTCTTGGAGTATATATAGTATCTACACTTCACTTCTATTTATAACTTTTATGACACAGCATTTTTTGAGTTCCAACTAAAAACCCTTAAATCAGAAAGTGGAAAAGGCTTACAGATCTTTTCTTTTCTTCCTACTTTTTCTTTTCCCCTTTTCTATGCTATAGGTTTGCTAATAATGTCAAATGTCATCAGTAGGTGTGGCTTATTCCCACATCTGTCACTCAGGGTTTAGAAGCATTTTTGCCTATCAGGACAACATGGCCCCTTTAATTAACCACTTTTCAGCTCACATTTCTTTTTTTTTTTTTTTTTTTTTTTTTTTTGGTTTTTCTCTGGTACCGGGAACCGAACTCACGACCTTGCGCTTGCCAGGCAGGCGCTTTTGCTGCTGAGCTAAATCCCCAGCCCCCTCAGCTCACATTTCTTACTATTTCAGGTTGAATTTTCTTACCCACCCCTGATACCAGGAGATGGACATGATAGCCATGCTCTACCTGAAGAATGGAAGTATCTGCCCTTTCTTGCCTTACCTGATGGCGCACACAACTACCAGGAAGGTATGTGATGAGATAGTGGAACAATTAGTAAGTGCCATTTTTTAAAGATCTGGGATGAGGGGGCAGCCAAGAGGGAAGAGTAGGGAGGGGAAAGTAAAAGGGATCAATATGTGATATGTATACGTACAATAAATGGACTTATTGTGTGTCACAACATATACTAATAAAGAATAAAAATCAAAATTGGCTAAAGATTCTAAATACTTTGGTAAAAGAAATGTCTTTGGTTATTGTAACTATTTTTAAAATATTGATGTGCTAGCCAGATGTGGCACATGCCTGTAATGTCAGCTACTTAGGAGGGTCACAAGGTTAAGGCCAGTCTGAAAAACTTAGCAAGACCATGTCGAAAAATAGAAAAGGCAGGTACTGGTTGGGAATATAGCTCAGCGCTCTCTGGATTCAAATCCCTGAGCCACACACACCAAAAAATACTGTTTGGAGATGACTGTCATGCACTAAGAGCCCTCCAGAGAGAGAGTACTTCGGCCACAGGTGGCACTTCTTAGCCACCTCTGACAGCAGTCCTAGCCAAATAAGTTCAGAGCACAATGGCTGCTGCTGGGAACACTCCTTACAACTGTACTGTTGACTCCTCTTAGAAGCAAAAAGCAAAATGCAAAGGCTCCTTGTACCAAGTACACACTGCTTGAGTGCTTAGCCCCAGGCTTCTTGGGCTTGGTATCCCAGCGCCCACCTGGAAACAGCTGCAGTTGTTTTTCTCACCCTGGAACTAATGTCATCAGTGCTCTGCTCACAAGGATGAGTAACTCAGAGAAAACAGTGCTGTGAAGTTCTTACTGAGCCTTCCTCTGCCTTATAAATGTGTGCCTTGCTAGACTCCATATATCCTGCCATGGTATTAGAGACTTCACCAGACTAAAGTTTGCTTGATAACCTATTTTCCTAATATAATATTTAATAATTTTCTCATGAAGTAAATCAAATTGTTCCTATGCTGTTTGAATACAGTCTTTATAACCTCAGAAATCTTTTTTTCTCCCTTTTTATTATGAAGTTTTCAAAAATACGTAAAAGTTGAATTGATGATAGTGAATTCTTACAGTTACCTCTAATCACTGAGATGTAATACCTGGCAGCCACAGTTTAAAAAAGAAGTTGTTTACTTTGGCTCACAGTTTGTAAAGGTTTCAGTCCATACTTGGCTGGCTCCAAGGCAGGGTGGCATGGCAGAGAGCATTGCAGAGGAGGTAAATAGCTCAGCCTGACAGGAAGCAGAAATCAAGGAAAGAGGAAAGGAAACACACCCTTCCAGGCCATGCCCCCAGTGAACCACTGCCTCTGACCAGACTTCACCTCTCAACATCACATGTAGGTATAAATTCATCTGTGCTGATCCACTAGTGAATATCACACCCCCTTGATCCAGTCTCCTAAAAGCCCTGCCTATAGGCGAAGCAGGCTTTGGGGGGACATCTAGATGTAATCTATAACATGAAGAGTCTACAGATTATATTTATGTGTTCTTTTTATCTTTTGGTCTTTTTGAGACAAGGTTTTGCTATGCACTTCAGGCTGACCTTGAATTCACCTTGTAGCCAAGGCTGGCCTCAAACTCACAATGCTCCTCCTGCCTCAACCTCCCAAGTGCTGGGATTACAGGCATGAGCCACCATGCCTGGCTTATGTGTATAGTTTTTATATGTACTGTTTTAAAGTAAGTTGGAAACAGTGAAGCACTTCAGCTCTAAATACTTAAGCATGCATCTCCTAAGAGTAAGATCATTATCATAGCTAAGAGATTTGACATTAAATCCATAACACCATCTAACAGCCAGTCTTTGTGCAGATTTCCCCAGTTGTCCCCAAAATTGGATCCATTCAAGATTCACATGTTGCCATTGGTTTTTATGACACCCTGCTTTCTTTTGATTTGAAACAGTCTTCTATACATGTTTTCTGTAATTAACCCTCAGTTTGACCTGTTATAATTCCGCCTCTTGGGTTACTTGACCTGAGTCTATACCTCAAGGCATTGAGAATAATCCTAAGAAACCCTCTGTGGTTGTGATGCTAGACATAAGTATGACAAGGGTTCCTATTTTTGTATTAATGATTGCATCATGATAACTTCAGATTTCATTATTAATAAGAGTAATTTACCTCAGTATTTATATTTTCCTGTGTATCTTTTAGATACTGTGTTTTTTCACTTGCCACCCAGAAATGGAAATGGAGACACAGTGTATGGTATCTCTTGCTATCGACAAATTGAAGCCAAGGTATGTTAATGGTGAGCGACAACAGAAAAACTAAAATCCTTTCTTGGGTGTTGGTCATTTAGGGAAAATGCATAGTTTCTATTTTACATGTGGTGTCTGCTGGTTTTGCTTTTTATAAATAATTTGTAGCTGTTATTCCTATAGTACTGATTTATTCATGCTAATATTTTTATAAATTGACATTGATGGCTGTTATATTGTGTATATTTTGAACATTGTTTTTAGATCATGATCCCCAAATTATCCATTTGTCTTTGAAGTACTGTGTTAAAGTTTCATATTATCTTCCACTTTTCTATTTCTAGTGTTTCGTGCCTATTTTTGTCAGCTTTCTATCATGTGACAAAATACCTGAGATAATCAGCTTACAGGAGGAAAAAAGGTTGATCTTAGCTTAGCGATTTCCATGGTTTCAGTCCATGGTTGCTTGCTTTGGACTTGGGGTTTGGGAGTGCATCCAGGCTAGGGTGCATGATGGAGGAAGCTGTTCACCTCATGGTGGCCGGGAGCAGGAAGAGAAGGGGCTGGGGTCCCAGGATATCCTGCAAAGGCAGCCCCCAATGACCTAACTTCCTCCAGTGAGGCTCCACCCTTGAAAGTTCTTCCACCTCTCCATAGATCACAGGCTGGGGACCAAGCAATTCAGTTGTGATCTTCTGGGGACACCTGTCCAAACCATAGCATTTCCTGAGACCAGGTAACTTTAGTGTTTATTTGAACAAAACTATTCACAGATTAGGTGGCTTTTGGAACCAGAGCAGGTTCTGAGAACTCCTGCCAAGATCATGATCAGATAGCATTTTTAGAAAACAGAAGCAAGACATAGAAACCAGCCTCCTTGGCCACAGCCTGGCGAGTCATCCAGCCAGTTAGTTCCAATTTACTATTAGTTAATTGGTTGTGGGGCTTCCTTCACCATCCCAAGCTCAGTTACTGTGATTACTTTGTATTTGTCTGATCTGTTGGTCTCAGGACAGGAGCCCAGGCTGAATTAGTGGGAGGTCATTGATGCTTTAAAGTAGTAATTTTCAGGGTTGGGTCCATGTGGAAATCAGCAACGAACTTTGAGAGTAGGATGACCAGGTCCCTGACTTGATGCTGGGCACAAGGTGGTTCTAATGCATAATCAAAATTGAGAACCACAGCTCTAGAACAGTAATAGTTTTTAAGCAGAATTAGTTGGGGGCTTTTTTTTTTTCCCCAGATACATGTTCCCATCTTTCCTCCTACCAACTGAATGAGTATCTCTAGAACTAGAACCTGGGTATCCATTGCACAGTTAACTTAGTAAATCTCCTTTCGTTTTCTTCTAACTTTATAATGAAGATGTCAAACATGCAGGTATGTCACAAGAATGGTACAACAAATATGTGCATACTCATCATGGAGATTCAGCAGTTCTTAATGTTCTACCACATGTGCTCTGTGTGTGGTTTTTTTGTCTGAACTTTCTGTGAGTGAGTTACAAGTGTAAATTCCAGGTTCCAGGATACCCAAAATCAGTTAATGTCTAGAATGAATAACAACCTAAAAGTAAAGATAATGCACCTCATTATCATGTATATCTTAAATATACACAATCTTGTGTCAGTGTTGCTTCAGTAACACAGGAAATATAAAAGAAACCTGAGACTAAGTTGGCTTAATAACTGTGCATTACTCTTTTCACATACTATTATCTTTATATATGAAACAAATTGAATTGCTGCCCTTTCTCAGAAATCGGCGGCTCTAATCCTTCATAGATCACATAAGGACTACTAAAATTATTTCTTCCAAATATTTCTTACTCTCACAGCTCTTACTATTAACAACAGTTCTCATGCCCTGTGTAGCTTTTATATATTGTCTCCAACCTTTCAGTCTGACCCACTCCAGATTATGAGTTGCTCACCACTTCAGGTTTTTCTGGCTATATCTGAGAAACTGAATAGATATACCAGACATGAAAAAAAGACCTAGAGCCTTGGAGAAAATCTTTAAGTCCCTTTGAATGAAGTTAGGAAATAATGGATGGATCCACTCAAGAGCAAAGTCTCTTCTCTTGACCTAATTTAATGACCAGTTTAAGACCCTAAGCCTCCTTGGTCCTCTGTGCAGATCAAGGAAATGTCAGGAAAAACAACTTTATCTGAAGTGGACCAAATCAAGGCTTGTTTCTACTAGCAGAGACCTGCAGAAACGTCACATAGTGTCTGTTACTTTCTTGTTCCTGAGAAGCAATACCTGACACCCACAAGTTAAAGGAGAATATGTGTAATTCAGCCCATAGATTAGAGACTTTAGTTCATAGTCAGATGGGTCTTATGCAGGGTGGCATAGCATAGGACATCACAGAGGAGAAAATTCATGGCAGGGCAGCCTGTCGTCCTTCTGTCCCTTGTATCCCATTGAGGCTACAAGCCTTTGGGTGGTGCCACCCACACCCAGGATGGGGCTTCCCGTTGTCTACACCCAGGACTGCTAAACCAATCATGGACTAATTTAGTACCACACACCCTTAATCCACATTCACACACCTTGGATCCAGCCACCTCCCGAAAGCCCCAGCTATGAGTGCGTAAGGCTTTGGGGGAACATCTAGATCCGAACCATAACACATACCATCCACAGTCACTGAGGAATAAGTTATGACTGCGGCACTGAGCTGTTACACAAGTCTACCAGGATGTACTCCAGCCTTGTATAGCATGACTAACTTAAAACTGTGACAGCTCTTCCATTCCAGAGAAATAGCCTGTCCATTCTTGTCATCTCTTAAACTAGCCCCTTCTTGCCAGAAACACTGATCTCTGAATAGTTCACCTCTTTTAAAGGCAGAATCATCAATGACTGATTTACACTGAATGGTTGACTTGGGTGTAGTGACTTGTACAGAAAGCAGTCTCCACTATAAATTCCTTGAGAGTAGCAGTTCTCTCTTCACCCTTATATTCCCAGTGCCTACTGTAGCTCTGGGTGCATAGGACATTTATTCATTCAGTAAGTATTTTCTGGAGAACCTCAGTGAATACTTTTGAATTTAACTTAAGTGCAAGGAATTTCTTTAAAGTACTATTTTCCTATTGAAAAATATGTTTTCTACATATTGCTGTGAAATATTTCTGACAATGTCTCTTTGTGATAATAGGCATTGAAAGTAAGGCAAGCCGATATCACCAGAGAGACTGTTCAGAAAAGCGTCTGTGTTCTAAGCAAGCTGGTAAGAGACCAACTAATTCATTTATGTGTGTGTTAAACATTCATGGCAGATTTTTCTTTGAGAATAAAGCATTAAAGTAAGAGTAATGAGACTAATAATTGTTAAAATTAGGAGCTTATTATTTATTCTCTTGCATTTCCTTCTCCTCTTTGCCTTTTGTAGTTTTACTCTTTTTGCACCTTTTTCCAAGACTAGTTAAAAGGGAAGGATCTCTGATAGGTTGTTGAGGGAGGAGGTTGACCCTTGATCAAATAGCTGGTTGACGTGGTTGACATGACACCAAAGTGAAGCAACTAATACTTTTTATGTATCTACTTTTGTTTAGTTCTCCAGACTTTGGATAAGTAAAAGTTGAGATTTAATAGACAAAATTGATAACTATTGCAGTGACGAATTTCAGCCTTAACATGGTCTCTTTTTTTTTTTGTCTTTTTGAGACAGGGTCTCACTATGCAGTTCAGGCTGGCTTTGAACTCACTTATGTAGCTCAGGCCGGCCTCGAACTCACAACGATCCTCCTGCCTCAGCCTCCTGAGTGCTGGGATTACAGCACCACCACGCCCAGCGTAATGTGCTCTTTAAATTTTAAAATGTTTGAGGAAAGAAAATGATGCAGTGAAACTGTACTATAATAATGCTTCAAAATTGTGTTTCTTCTAGGTACAAGTTGAGGCAAATGTATGATCATTCTTAAAAAGAAAATAAATGACATTATTTGATTTTTATAGTGCAGTAACATCAAATGCCTAATTCTGCATGTGAAGTACAGTCCACAAAATCCCCTTTGTGGGGAATAATCCAGATCTGTATCATATTATGTTAGGTGTATATAATTGCAATATTCACCATTTCTCTAGTTAACTTAAATCAAAACTGAGAATATTTTTTTAAATCTAATCATTAAATGTAGATAGGTTTTAATTATTTCTTCAACAATTACCCATTTTCCTATATCTACAGGCAATTTAAATGTACTTTGCATAATTGAGTTTTGCAAGAGTTTTTGGGTTTGACCTTTATTACTAAGCTAAAAGACTCATCATCATCATCATAATTTAATACTGTGAGCCTTCATAAGATTTTGAGAATCAGAATATTTCTTCAAGGTAATAAAGAGGACAAGAATACATTTTCCTAGAAAAAAATTGTTATAAAACACCTTGGTGTCAGAAAATTGATAGATTGCTAATCTGATTTTTATGCAGAGATTTAGGAAGGGTAGCCTGGAAAATGTACATTAGTAAATTACTGTTTTATGTTGGGCCAGAAACAAAAGGCTGAGACTGTCAGATATGAAAGCAAACACCTTGTGTCCCCAAGTAATCCTGTTTTGAAGGGCAGTTATATTCCTTACAGAAGCCATTTGTATGTCAGATATTAATTCTGTACTAAACACTTATATAGTTGTCATTTTCATAACACTGAAATATATTTACTATCCCCATTGTATAAAATAAAGATATACCTACGAGAAACAATATCTAATTCTCATAGACCTAAGTGATAAAGTTGGGGTGAAAGCTAGTCTTATGTGTCTCTGAAATAGATGTAGGGATGCAAAGGACTCACTCAGAAAGGCTGATTATTCATAGTACATTGTAGTCTGTATGTAAAAATATAATGGATTTACACTTAGGGGGTAATAATACATTACTACCAGAAATATTGGGGAGAAAACTATTCCAGTGTTACCTTTTAAAAATTAATTGTATATAATTCTAAAGAGGACATTCAAATGAGAAAACATTAGAAAAGGCTAAAAAGATGGATATGGTAGAAGAGGATCTTAAGTAAATATTGATCTTAAGAGGATCTTAAATTTTGTTTGAGAAGAGCATTATGGTAGGGGATAGAGTAGTTCTGAGCCTCCACAGGGGACTGAAAAAAGGGTAATAAACTTAAATTTAAAAGGGTAATAAACTTAAATTTAATAATGAATACTCAACTAGTTCTTTTTTTTTTTTTTTTTCAACTAGTTCTAAGAACTGGACTGCTATAAGGATTTTTAAATGCTGCCACAACCAACAGGAAAATGTACAGAATGAGAATATGTTGTAAATCTTATAGCTAATTCTTAGTGCCAGGTACTGTACTAAGTGCTTTCATTTGTTATTTAACATTACTATAAGGTGTACTATCAACTGGGCAGTACACTTGTAATCCTACCATTCAGGAGGCTGAGGCAAGAGAATCTCAAGATTGGGGCCAGCCAGGGCTACATAGTGAGACTAAAAAACAAAACAACATTAAGACACACTGTCAGCAAGCAAGTGTTAAAAGGTTAAATGCCCAGGACGAGCAGCAGAGTGATGGATCAGGCTGAGGAGTCTGAGTGTTGATATTGCCAGAGTACTGGGCACATCCCAGCTGTAGCCTGAGTATGAAAGTAGGTGATGTCAGCTTCCATCTATGAGTAAGAAGGCCCCGAAAGTTGGCAGTTACTTTTTTTTTCCTTGTCCTCTTTAAATTAAAAAGCTATTGGGGGTGGTTTGTGGTTACTGTCATCAACCTAATGGTAATTTCTCTTCCTTTAAGCCTCTCTATGGCTTACTTCAAGCAAAACTTCAGCTCATTACACATGCATATTTTGAAGAGAAGGACTTTTCCCAAATTTCCATTCTAAAGGTAACTTTATACTCCTTTATAGATATATTTGGCTAAAAATAGATTAATGAATCAAGTAAATCTTGTCAGTAATTCTGTGCAGGACAATAATTTATAAGCTTAAGAAAGATATTCTTCACTAAATATGATGATGAGTGACTGTAACCCCAGCACTCTGGGAGGTTGGGGCAGGAAGATAGCAAGTTCAAGCCCACCCTGGCCCTATCTCAAAAAAAAAAAAAAAAAAAAGGCCTGAGGATGTAGGTTAGTATGAAAGCTCTAGGTTCAATCCCCAATATCATACCCACCCCCCTGCAAAAAAATTCTTTTTTTTTTTTCTTTTTTTGTTTTGTTTTTCTCTGGTACGGGGAACCGAACTCACTACCTTGCGCTTGCCAGGCAGGCACTTTGCCACTGAGCTAAATCCCCAGCCCTTTTTTTTTTTTGAGACAGGGTCTCGCTATGCAGTTCAGGCTGGCCTCGAATTCACAACAGTCCTCCTGCCTCAGCCTCCCGAGTGCTGGGTTTACAGGCATGCGCCACCACGCCCGGCTCAAAAAAGACGTTCTTTGAAAATCCGTTTACATTAAAACATGACTGCCAGGATACTTCTAAGTTTAACCAAGCCAAGCATGGTGGTGCATGCCTATAATCCCAGCACTCAGAAGGCTGAGGCAGGAGGATTGCCACGAGTTTGAGGCCAGCCTGGTCTACACAGTGAATTCAAGGCCAAACTACAGAGTGAGAGCCTATCTCAAAAAACCAAAAATAAAAATAAATTTTTAACCATACTATTTTAGGAAATAATGATTGTAAATAACTTACGTAACTATTTTTCTTAATAAATAATAGCCTTTTGGCAATGGCATTGCTTCTGTAAATTTGTTTATCTTACCAATAAGCTGCACAGTGTGTTTATTATACATCAGGCTCCTGGTTCCTAGTTCCCAATAACCTGAACCAAAGAAACCACATGGTTATTTTCTTGAAGGTAGAGACCTGTTTTTCTGAAGGCTGTACTCCGTGTACAGATCATGGATCTCTCCTGGATTCTGGCAAAAGTAGGGTAGTTAGAAATCTAGTGAGGAAACCAGGGGATTTATCCTAGGAGTTCATACCAACCTCTGAATGTATCCAGTGAAGTGAGTGAGGGATGAGGAGGGAAGAAAGGAATCCTTAAGAACTTCCACTTTTGTCCAGCTCTCATGTGATACAGCTCATGCCTGAAAGGTAAGAAATAACTGCTGGAAACTGGCGAAGTTTCAGAGAAACCGTAATTGTTTTTAAGTTTAGTGCCTGGTAAAGTAAGCAGCCTCAAGCCAAGAACCATCTGTTTTCTGATCATCGTATTTCTAATTCAATACCAAAAATGGTCTAAATTCAGTCTGTTTCATAGGAGCTTTATGAACATATGAATAGTTCTCTGGGCGGAACTTCGTTAGAAGGATCCCAAGTATATCTTGGTAAGTAACTTTTGTACAAGTCAGAGAAGCTGCCATCATTTCTGTTCAGCTGAGTTGCATGTAAAATGTTGTGATCAAAATTCATATCTGCGTGGGACTTGAATTTTTCAGTAGTCAATGCTGGTGCTGCTTTAAATATCCTCTAGCTGTATTTATACTGAGAAAGGTGGTGATGACATACGGGTTGCAACTTTCACTAATATTATTGTACAAGGTGAATTTCTGCTTTTCAGAATAATAATGGAAGTTTATTCTCTTCCTTACTTTAATGCTGACCAGCTCAATTCCCTGTGTAAGAGAGGGAGCAGAAAAGAAAGCAGACTTCTCAGTTACTTTCTAAGATTTTTCAAAATAGGAATTTTGTTAAATTTATACTATCTTGTCAACCCAGAATATCCTTTGGTGTCTAAGGAATTCAGAATCCTCCTCATAATAAAACATTGTAGTCACACACAGATTTCTGCTCCCTCAATTTCTATTCCAGTATGAAGTAGCCAGATGGTGGTAGTTTATCACTGCAATCTTGTGTGTAACGCGAGCTAGTTGGAGAGCATCTATTCTGAGCGCATGTTTTCCTCTAAATTATTTGCTGTTATACTTTGGTGTTTGAGGCAGATGATTAGGAAAGACTGTTTCGTAAGTAATAGCAAATGGAATCCAGTGACCAAAACCATGCTTAAATGATTGACTTCTAGAGTTTATATTTATAGACTGGAGGAGGGTATTAGACTGGTAATATCCCAGGCTAAGGGTATAGCTCAGTGGCACAGTGCCTGGCTACGAAGTGTAAGGTCCTGAGTTCGATTCCCGGTACCAAAAAAAAAAAAAAAGAGTAACATCACAACAGTAGCTCCTAGCAATGAATGTTGTCTGCATTTATATTGAAATTAATATGGAGGGTGAGGAGGGAATGGCAAAAAGGATCGAGATGTGTTATGTGCACGTACCAGCTCCCAATGATGAATGTAATCATGTACTGCAAGCATGGATTAATAAAAACAAAGTTTTTTAAAATATAAAAAGGAAAGAATTTAATAAAAATTAAATACAATTTAAAAGTTTGTGGGTCACATTTGGCCACATTGCAACTAGACAGGGAAGGTTTAAATATTTGCATCCTTGTAGAAAGTTGTGTTGGACAGCACTATCTCTGAGCACATGTGTATTTGATCAAATACTAAGTAAATATTAGAGTATTTGTGTATTATTTTCGTTTTGTACATTCCTTTCCTAACTTTCAACAAAAAGAATAGACTATAGTCACAGATTAGCTTTTCTCTTCACACTGTAGGTCTGTCTCCTCGAGATCTGGTCCTTCATTTTCGACACAAGGTACGAGACCTTAGTGTTTATGATATACTAAAATGTGAGACATTTACTATATCATTTATCTACATAGCATTGTAGATATCTGCCCTTTGTGTTCTTCCAAGCAAAGACACCAGTTTCACCAGCTCTTCTCTCATGATGTCACCAACAGCATAAAGCAAAATTACTGCATTATTATTTCTATCTGCCCTTTCATCCTAGCACATAGAGTAGCGATCTGCCCTTTATAAGTCAGTGGTGAGCTGCTGACTAACATCACTGGTCATTCTCAGGACTCGATCATTAGTAGTATTTCTGTTAAGTAGCATCTCAGAGATGTATTGTATAATTTTATCCAATCTGAGAAATCATGAAAAAGGGAATTACTCTCCGACAACGTGGCCATTTTGATAAAATCCCCATCAGACAGAGGCTTACCATGATCTGCTGTGCACAGTGAAATTTAAAAGCTGGCAGCTGTCAGATGACTTGATTTAGAGAGATAGTTGTAAAAACTAAGATACTGGAAATGATATGTCCTCAGTTTCCCTTTTCAGTTTCACCAAGTTGGGCAACAGTTTTGTGTGTCAAAGTGCCATTTGACACATGATATGCAACATGCAACACTTTCACTACACAGAATGTATAACACTTTCCCGTCATATTTCATCACTCCCAGTGACTCTGTAGGCCTCTTGGAATGATCTTCCACTATGTTTTCAATTTTGCTTTTTTTTGTTGTCATTTTTTACGGTTCAGGACTTGGAGTCTACAAAAACACAAATTTTTTTTAAAATGAAGCACCCAATACAAATTTATCCCCATACCAAAAATAATAGCCACTGCTAATAGTTAATACTAAAGAATTGGATATTCCCTGAATCAAAAATCTATGGCAATGATTCTCAGCTGGGGTTCCTCTTGAATTTGCTGACCACTTGAAGGGAGCTGCTATGTGAATGCACTGAACATCCAGAAATAAATGAATAATCCCTGCCCTTTTTTTCAAGCAGAAATAGCACTATACTCCAAAAAAGATAATTTCATCTAGAGATTTAACTGATTCATTAAATTTTTTAGAGAACATAAGTAATGTTTAATTTCTTAGAGAACGTGTAAGTAATGTTTAATTTCTTAGTATAAGTTTATGTTTTTCTATATTTTTTAAGTGCTACAATTATTTTACTCTTAATTAAATGATACACAATTGTGTCTGAGGATAGGAAACAGCAAATAACTGATAGACTTGAGTTTCTTATTTTAATACAGTGTTATTTGTTTTTGCAGGTCTTAATCTTGTTTAAATTAATTCTTCTGGAAAAAAAGGTGAGACATAAAGGGGTAGAAGGAAGGGTGAATTTTTTTTGACATTTCTTACATATTACATGAAATGAGAACTAATGTTAAAGTATTAAGATGTTCTGTGTGTCCTTTCTGGAGGCAGTGTGATAGTACATTTCGTTATCAGGATAGTCTTCAGAGTAGGCAACAGAAAACACAATTTAAAGTTAATTTCAATGAAAAGGAAATGTTTGGGGTTGGTTGACTGAGTGGTTCCAGAGTCTCAAATATCAGTTCTTCCCTTTGAACCTGTCAGGCTAACCCTGAACTGTTAATTGCTGTCAGAGATACCTGCCTTTACTGACTGGGTTGAACTTGAGTTCCAGCCCACTCTGTAGTTCAGAGGCATGGGATATACCGTGGGATTAGTGTAGACTACAGGCTAGGTCTCAAATCTGGTCCGCTGCTTATTTCTGTAAGTAAAGTTTTATTGGAGAATAGTGATACTCATTTTTCTTGATTGCTTTCACTCTGTAGTGGCAGTGAGTATTTGTGATAGAGACCCTATGGTCTATGAAACAAAATATTTCCTAACTCACCCTTTATAGAAAAATTTTGCCGACCTCTGGTTTAGACTACTCAGGAACCACTCTGGTATACAAGACCAGTTTTATGTGCCATATTACTGTGTTCAGGGTGGTAGAGATAGGAAAGATGTTAGGGAATGGACTATGTGCCATGTCCACCGTGGTTCATTACCTTAAAAATACTCTTTCAACCCAACAATTTTCCCCTTGGGGAATTCTTTTCCAGAATTAATCTGAGTTGGACACAAAACTCTGTCTAATAGAGAAGCTGGGCATGGTAGCACACACCTGTGAGGCAGGAGGATTGCCATGAGTTCAAGGCCAACCTGGGCTACATAGTGAGTTCAGGACCAGCCTAAACAGTCCTTGTAGCTCAATGGCACAGCACCTGCCTCGCAAGTGTGAGGTTGTGAGTTTGATTCCCATTACCAAATTAAAAAAAAAAAAAAAGACCAGCCTGAACTATATAGCAACTATATAGCAGCCTGTCTGAAAAAAGTCCTTCGTGGAATCACTTTTAATAACAAATTATATATTGATAGCTAAATGATGGTTTAATTTATATGTTGTGTATAATTCCAAGTACTAAAGATATTCGGGTATCCTACCAATCTGTTAGCAAGGTATATTCTATTAAAAATTACAGTTTTAGAGAATGGGTAGAGGCTGTTTTTTAGCTATATTCTTATTAGAAAGTTTACAAAACTATTGAGGTCTTGACTATGTTTGTTAGAGTAGTCTGTAGCTGACTGTTGTTTTCAGTCTGGGATCCAGGCAGGGATCATGTATTGTATTATTAGGTCCCTCTAACTTCAGACACTTTAACTACCTCCACTCTTTTTTCTTTTTCTTAATCTTTTTGTATTTAACAGCATTGACACTTTGTGTGTGTGTGTGTTACTGAGGATTGAACCCAGAGTCTTTGCAGTGGAACTATGTCCCAAACCCATTTTTATTTTTTATTTTGAGACAGTCTCACTAAGTTGCCCAGACTAAGCCTGAACTTGTGATACTCTGGCTTCAGCCTCCCAGAGTGCTGGGATTATAAGAGTGCACCATTATGCTCAGCTGACATTGGCACTTTTTTTAAAGCATCCACACTAGTATTACAGGACTAGAGCTGTGTGGTTGTTTCTTTATGGCTTGTTTGAGATTAAACTTTTTTTTTTAGCAAGAATGCTAAAGATAATGGTGTATCCTCAGGGTATGACATCAGAAGGCTCATAACAATTTGTGCTATTTTTGGTGATACAGTTTGACCATTTGGTTGAGGTGGTGGTTACCAGTTTAATAGGTCCAACAATCTTTGAGTTTTAGTGCCCACTGGTAATTATTACCTGAATTATGGTCATTTTCTATTATTATTTGTATATTTATTAACTGTTCCACAAAGAACCTCCTTTTTCTTTCTTTTGCCTCTTTGTATACTTAAGTTCTCATAGATTTTCTAATTTAGTTTTGATTGAATCTATTTCAGGTTCTTTTTTATATTTCTCCAGTGAATAAATTGGTGGGTGCACTGATGACTGTGTTATCCCTTTTTCCAGGTAAGAGAACAGTATCTATTTGTTCTTTTATTTAACTTTACTGGAATTTAGACTTTCAGTAGTAGAAGGATCCAAGAATGAACTCCTTAGGATTAACATTTCTATTTTAATAAGACACTTTCCTTTCGGCAGTAGGTTTTTCTCTTTTGTCTGGGTGTTCTTTAAATTTTACTAAAATGTGTGCTTTTAAAAGTTTTTATAGGAGAGTTGCACTATATAAAACAGAACACACAGTTCTTATTTTCCTCCATATTGTCATAAGCCAGGCTGCCCTCCAATATTGTATGTTTCAGGGATGATTGAACATGGTCTCCGTGACTGTTCACAGTACAGACCTCGCAAAAGCATGTCTGAAGATGCTGGGCTTCCAGATAGTAATCCCCCTACACATGACTCTCTTTCTGGGTCTGCTGCTGACTTTTCAAAGGCCAGTCTGGGAGCTGTCAAGAATATCATGGTAGGAAACCATGGAGGAGATGCTGCCATCAAGACTGAAAAGCCTTTGCTCCGCAGAGAAGATGATCACAGCAAAAGACAAGAACTTGATACCACTCAATATTTGAAACCTCCATCTCTTCCATCTCCAGAGTCTTCAGAAAGTGACTGGGAAACTTTGGATCCTAGTATCTTAGAAGACCCCAACTCAAAAGAAAGGGAACAGGTGGGGTCAGACCAGATAAACTTATTTCCAAAAGACTCTGTACCCTCAGACAGCCCTCCAATTACTGTACAACCTCAAGCTAACACAGGGCAGGTGGTACTGATACCAGGACTCATTTCAGGTTTGGAAGAGGACCAGTATGGCATGCCCCTGGCCATTTTCACAAAGGTAAGGTGTTAAGTCCTTTGTTGAGGACTTAGAATTTAACTTTCAGTGTTGAACACATTTTTTTGTTTTTTGTTTTTTGTTTTTGAGATAGGGTCTCACTGTGCAGATCAGGCTGGCCTTGAGCTTGCTCTGTAGCCCAGGCTGGCCTCAAACTCACAACCATCCTCCTGCCTCTGCCTCTCGAGTGCTGGGACTACAGGTGTGCACCACCACACCCAGCAATGCTGAGGGTTTTGATAGGAAAAAGTTTTGAAATTTAGTGTATATGAAGTCAGCAATCACTGTGTTGGGTCTGTGTTTAATTACTCAGATTTCTCTTTGAAAAAAGAAAGAGTTGAGGAAATCCAGACAGTCTTGATAGCACTTAATAAATACATATTAAAATGCTGTAGTTGTAACCTGTATTCCCAGCTACCCTGGAGGCTGAGAGGAAGGAGGATAGCTTGAGCCCAGGAAGTCAAGATCAGCCTAGGCAACATAACAAGACATTTTCTCAAAAAAGAGGAAAAAAGTACTCACTTGTTTCAACAGCACATATCCTAAAAAAGAAGAAAAAAGAGCTTCCTTTTTTCCCCCTACTTGCATTTTTTAAAAAACTCCACATATTAGGGGAAACATACAATAGTTGTCTGAGTGTCTTATTTCATTGTAAGATTTCATTCAGTTCTGTCTTTTCCTGCAAATTTTCTTCTTTATGGCTGAATAATAACTTTATCATGTATCTAAACCATATTTTCTTTCAACATTCATCTGTTGATGGGCATTTAGGCTGGTTCTGTATCTTGGCTATAATAGCCATGTATGTGACAATAAACACAACTACGCAAGGTAGCCCTGTGTGTAAGATGACTTTAATTCCTTCAGGTATGTACCAAGGAAGAATAGTACTATTTTTAGTTTTTTTGAGGAACCTCCATAATGATTTCTTTAGTGGCTGTACTAATTTACTTTCTCACCACAGTATAGAAGGAAGGGTTCCTTTTCCCCACATCCTTGCTAGCATTTATTGTTTATATTCTTGGTGACAGCCATTCTGATTGGGGTGAGATGAAATTTCACTGTAGTTTTGATTTGCATTGCCTATGTGTACTACTTTTGATAAGTGTTCGCATTTGCCCGATTATTGATTGGGATATTTGTTTTTTTGGTATTAACTTTTCTGAGTTCTTTATATATTCTGAATATTAAATCTTCTGTCAGAAGAGAAGCTGTCAAAGATTTTCTTGCAGTCTGTAAGTTGTCTGTTCATTCTGTTGTTTCCTTTGCAGTGTAGAAGCTTTTTAATTTTATCTAACCCCATTTCCTAAATTCTTGCTGTTACTTTCTATATTACTAGCATGCTACACAGGAAGTCTTTTTACCTGTGCCTGTGACATCAACTGATTGCCTTATACTTTCCTCTAGTGGTTTCAAAGTTTCAGGTCTTATACATTAATTCTTTGATCCATTTTGAATGGATGTCTGTATAAGATGAAAGAGAAGGATCTAGTTTCAGTTTTTCTACATCAGGATATCCAGTTTTCCTCACACCATTTGTTAAAGAGGCTGCCAGTTCTCCACTGTATATTTTTGGCTTCTTTGTCAAGAATCCGATGACCATAGTTGCATGGGTTTCTTTCTGTGTCCTCTATTCTGTTGCAGTGGTCTACATGTGTTGTACTGATCCATGAACCTGAGAGGTCTTCCGATCTTCTAGTGTCTTCTTCAGTTTCTTTTTTCAGTGTTCTCTAGTTTTCACTGTGGATGTCTTTCACTGTGTCAGTTAAGCTGATCCTTAGGTATGAGTTTATTTTGACTCTACTGTAAATAGAATTTGTTTCCTGACTTCTTTCTTAGCTAGTTCATCATTGGTGTATACAGAAGCTGTTGGTTTTTAAAGTTGATTTTGTATCCTGCTACTTGGCTGAATTTATCAGCTCTAAAAGTCTATTGGTAGAGTCTTTAGGGTCTTCTAAGTATAGGGTCATATCATCTGCAAATAAGAATAATTTAAATTCTTCCTGTCATATTTGTATCCTTTTTGTTTTTCTCTTGCCTATTTGCTCTGGCTAAAATCTCAAGTACTATTTTGAATAGAAGTGGTGAGATTGGACATCTTGGTCCCAGTGCTGATTTTAAAGGAAATGCTTTCAATTTTTCCCCATTTAGTATGATGTTGGCTCTGGATTTGTCATATATAACCTTTATTCAAGGTTTGACACTTCAGTACCTAGTTTCTTCAGGGCTTTTATCTTGGAGGGATGTCAGATTTTGTTGAAGATATTTTCTGGATCAGTTGAGAGGTTCATGTGCTCATTACCCTGGACTCTGTTTATATGCTGCTGTACATTTATTGATCTGTGTATGTTAAACTATCCTTGCGGACCTGGATTGAAATCAACTAGGTGTGTGATCTTTTTAATGTGTTTTTGAATTTGGTTTGCAAGTATTTTATGAAGGACTTTTGCATCTGTGCTCATAAGGAACATTGGTCTGTATTTTTCTTTCTTTTAAAATTTTTTATGCTTTTTTTTTTTTTTTTTTTTTGAGTAAGGTCCTTTCTGTGTAGTTCAGGCTGGCCTTAAACTCACTACATAGCCCGGGCTGACCTCAAACTCATGGCGATCCTCCTGCCTCAGCCTCAGCCTCAGCTCTCCAGCTTGCTTTCCTTAGTCTTTGACTGTGCCTGAGGAGGTCACCTCTCTTGTCAGTCTCAGAGACCAGTTTCTCATGTAAATGCTGGGGGTGCTGAGCACAGTCAGGAAGTGAATAGAAGAATCCGGGAGAGAGCAGCAAGAGGCAGGATTGCAGGCCTCTCTGCCATGGGAAAGGAGTGCTGGGACCAGGAGAGGGAATTAAGAAATGGACACACCTGGTAATATTTATGCTGCCCTGCTGTGCTACTGTATAGCCAGAGAGACACTGTGGTGGAGTGGGAAGATGGACAAGGACAGAGGAAGTTAGCGTAGCTGTCTACAGATGTACAGAGGTAATCCTGAAGGCGTTCCTTTGTTTCCCCAAATCTAAAGCTTCTGCCTCATTCTCAGAAGTGTTCTGGAATTTGCACACTGAGCAGAGCAGCTGGTGTAGGATTCTTGTTTGTAATCCCCTGTCAGCTTTCCCTTCCCCTTCCAGTTATGAGGAAGCAGTCAGCATTTAGTAAAATTACTTGTGTTACTACAAATGAAACTCTATTAAAAGTTTTCTTGAGTTATTACTTATCATGAAAAAGTTTTTTTTTAAGTTTAGTTTATCATTAGAATCTGAATACATGTGTGTGTGTGTGTGTGTGTGTGTGTGTTTGAGGAACAGGGAAGGTGGTTTTAGGTAACCACTAAAAGGATACCTTATCTAAACTTTTTCAGCAAAGATCAGCCATTGCAAATAGCTAAATACACAATTGAAAATACCAAAAATAGCACTTAGAATTATTCTGTTTCAATTTATCCACAATTCAATAAAACCACAAATTTATGAAAATACATACATTTGGAAATATTTATCTGCCGGGGATATAGCTCAGTGGTACAAGTGCCTGCTTGGAAAACACAAGGTCTTAAATTTGATTCCTGATACCAGAAAGAAAAAAAATGATCTGCCACTCCTATTTAAGTATTGCTTCTAAGATTATATTTGGTTAACTTGCTAAAGATCATCATTTTCAAATTTAGAGAACCTGCAGATAACTTGGTTGACTAGCTAAAATGGCAGGTATACATGCCTATAAATTTTATTTAAGTGGAACCATATTTTTTCTCTCAACATTGTTTATCTCTCTCTATCCCTGTCAGTACTGGGGACTGAACCCAGGGCCTTTACCACAGACTACATGTTCAGGCTGTTTTTTATTTTCAGACAAGGTCTCACTAAATTTCCCAGGCTGGCCTCAAACTTGTGATCGTCCAAAGCCAAGCATGGTGGCACACACCTATATTCCCAGCACTTAGGAGGCTGAGGCAGGAGGATCACTGCAAATTGAAGCCCAGCATGGGAAACTGACCAGCCTGAACTGCATAGTGAAACCCTGTCTTAAAAACAGACCAAAAAAAAAAAAAAAAGAAAAAGAAAAATACAACAAACTTGAGAGCCTCTTACCTTCAGCCTGCCAGAGTGCTGAACTTACAAAAAGGTGTGCACCACCACACCCTGCTTCTTCGGTGTTTTTGCATGAAATGTGTATTATTTTTCCTGGGTAGTTTTCTATATTATAACTTCTGCATTTCATCATTCTACTGTACATGTGGATGATTTTCCTTTCTGGCTACTACAGTATTGCTATGAAATTCATGTTTAGGAATCTTGCTGTACAAATGCACAAATTTTTCTAGAATTCAATACTTCAAGGAGAGAATGTTATAAGAAATAAAGATTTATAACCGTGCATAATTCTAATCTATTTTCTAAAGTGGTTGCTGAGGCAGGAGGATCACTGTAAGTTTGAGGCCAGCCTAGGCTACATACTTAGTTCAAAGCTAGTCTGACCTATATAGCAATACCCTGTCTCAAAAAAAAAAAAAAAAGCATTTATTGGACTGAGGGTATAACTTAGTGGTAGAGCACTTGGCTAGCATGCAAGAGACCCTGGGTTTAATCCCCAGTACCACCAAAAAAAGAGAGCAAGAAGAAAAAAAGACAAGCTTTCATACTGATTACTTCCAAATATATTCTTTTAGGCAGTCAGAATCTAAAGATTAATAAGACACAATCTGAC